TTCACCTGATATTGGGTTTGACCCTGGTGACGACGTCGTCCAAAAGACGTTCCACGTGATACTAGACGTCACTGTCCTCATCGAGAAGAGTCGATGGCGGGCGGTGACGACCGGGTCGACCGCCGACCGGTGACTCGTGATGCTCTTCGATCGCTTGGGGACGAGGTCCTTCGTGATCGGAGCTCCGCTGAGCGTCATGCTGAAGTAGCATATCGCTGTGCGGACGCTCTTGACGATTTAAAGCACGTCGTTCGCCCGCTACCTCGCCTTGAGGACTACCGCTCTCTGTTAAAGCGACCCCTAGCAGTTGAGCAGGCAAATGCATCGCTGCAGGCAACGGCGGAGCGCTTGGCTCCATTGAAAATGGAGGTTTTTGCGCTCAGAACCAGTTGCTGGTTCAACTTCTGGGTGGCCGAGGGTCCGTGGGATCCGCTCCGGCGTCAACGCTTTCGCGTTCACTTGCGCTGGATCCCGGTACGGCTTGAGCAAGCCCAAGTAAAACACCGGGTGGGTGCGCATCCGCTTTGGGAGGTTCAGCGTATACGCCAGGCCCCGCTTGACCACAACCTCAAACGGTCCGATGAACCGTGGAAGAAGCTTCGTCCTGAAGACAGCAGAGACTGCATCTGTAGGCAGGTTTTTAGAATTCAATAAAGCCAGGACCCTGACCTTAAAGATTTCCACTTTGCCTCTTCCTTTTTCATCTGCATATTCTTTTTGCAAATCTTGGCTTTCAGCCATCGCATCGCGAACGTGTCGTAGGACACTGGTAGACAAGAAGTCATCGACTTCTTTACGGATGGTGAGGAAGCTGACATCAGCAGGCTGTTCGGCTATTCCTCCCCACCAATCCCTGAGCCATGGGATGGCGGCGTCAGCGGGACACGAGGGTGAACTAGCTCGTTTACGCAGAACGGCGTGTAGCCGGTAGACGAATGCAGTGCATTGTTCAGTGCAAACGCTACGAGTGGCAACATGGCGCTCCAGCGCCTCGGCGTCTCAGCGCAGACGCTGCGAAGAACGTCTTCGATGACGCAATTCACCCTTTCGGTTTGACCATCGGTCACGTGCGCTCATAAATGCTCGTCCATTTGTACAACTTGAACCACCAAAAATGGCGACTCACAGAGTTGTACGTTTTCTCACGGCCGAGATGACCACTGAGTGGCGTATCCTGAGCCTCATAGAGGATGCGGTATTTCAAATCCTCATCATGAGGAACCACAATTCGTG